GTCTGGGATTAGACAAACAAAAACAGAAATTTGTTCAAATATAAAAGATTGAAAGAAGTTGAGAAAGAGAGAAATGAATGAAAATAAATTCAATAATTAAAGGAAAATGTGAGTTTGATTTTTAAACTTTCAAGTTGGAGTGTTTATAGCAGTAATATTAGAAAACTTTGGGAACCTGCAAAAATTAATTTAAACATTCTTTACAATAAAATTTCAAAATTTTGTTTCAACTATAGTAAAAAAATATTTGTGGTTTCAGATAATTTTATTTTTAAACACGATGTTTAAACTTTTATTTACAAATATTACAATAAAATCTAACTATATATATATATACACTAGATCTGAAAAGTTTGGAGCTGGTAAAAAAGTTTGTATCTTTGCAAAGTTTGCTCCATATATTCTCGTAGAACGCAATTATAAACATTTTGATGCGAAATACAAACATTTGAAACTTCATGTTTTTGCCACCTTGGTTTCAGCTGAACAGCCAATCAGAGTTCAGTGTTAGATCTAGAGGGGCATATACAAGAATTCTTTTAAATCACAACCGCCCCACCCCCGTTATACACCCCTGATAGAACTCATATATATTTGATTTTAACAACATCAAAAACCGCACGTTATATAATCGATTCACAAATCAAACGACGTTTCCCTTTAAATCGTTGTCTGTGTTAAAAATAAGAACGGTTTGCTCTGGAAATTGGAATTTGCCGGTTGGCAATTGTGGCTTTCATGTATTCTACTTTAATTCTAAAATATTTCTCTTTCATATACTTTTTTTTGTGGATTTTGAAAAATCGAATTCGTTTAAGTAAATTTTTCAACTGTTTTGACCTTCATCGGATAAAGTACATTTTGTATATGATGAATAGATAATAGATAAATGAACGGATTCTTATTATTTATCTTTTTATCTAAAATCTGAACTTTTTTACTATGAATCATGACTTAAAATTACCTTTGTTTATCGGTAACTATTTATATATAAAGTTGTAATCTCTGTTTGCATGTTTGTTAGTAAGTCCAATCATAACTTATGAACCCCTTGACTTATTTTCCTCAAATTCTGAGCGAGGAACTCGGGAGAACCACGGAAATGTTCTGTTTAGCTTGGTTTTGAGACTTTAAGTTGAGTGGGTCAATTTCTATAGGGAAAATAGCTAAAATCGTAATTTACGACCAAGCGAGGATAAACGGCGGACGTAACTTTAAGTACCCCGGGCAACGCTGGGTTCTCAAGCTAGTTTCTGACAAAAATATAGAACTATTACAAGGTTAGTGCTATTTACATTGATTATCACTATGTCAATAGAAACTACATTTATCTATTTAGTAGTTACATCAAAATGATCAATTTTAACCTAATGAATTTGTATTTATTAGATTACAAATCAATTTTTTGAGTACTTTTTGAAACCATATTTAGTAAAAATCATAAAACCTTGATTTTTAATTGAAGAAAAATATTTCCGTTTATTTTACAAATTTAAAACAATTTTCTATTTCTTTATTCAATCTGAATCGATATCAACAAGAGAAAAAACGTTAACAGCACATGAATGTTGACGAATATAATGAGCCTTTGATGAGATGGATTTCAGGTCTGTATTTATTTTTCTTCGTCTTTTAATTCTGCTCAACTATCATTATTATTCAGTCCTAACGTACAGGGCTACCTACAAAGGATTAGAAGGTTCGGAATTTATACTGGCTCTTTACTTATATTCATTCTTTCCTGCAACTATAAACTAACCATATTTCTTTCTTTGACAAATCATTAAATAAACCATTTCAAGAGCAAATTAAAGACAGAAAACTTAGTTTCTACTTGAGATCGACATATCTGAAGAGTTATAAGTCGTCTTTACAGTCTTATCCCTTGTGTGTAACCCTGTAAATTGTGATGTGACATATTTTTTTTGTCCAGCTGGGTATACTAAAATATCACAATCTATTTTACATCTTAAATTAGAACTTTTTCTTTTAACAATAATGATCAAAAAATGTTATTTAAATAAGCCAAGATGTAGAGAAAACTAATTCAGATAAAAGTTATTTCAGTGAAATGAATTAAAAGAATTTCTTTGGTTTTAAAAGAACCGCCTTACATTAATTTTTTTATTAATTTACTTTGAATTTTATTTTGATATCTAAATATATCAAATTCAGTTTTCAGAACAATATCATAATGTTTTGCTTTGAATCTAAACATTTAATTATGAAGGTAGGATGTCGGCATATTTACTTTTTAGTATTAGATAGGATATAAAATATTATATTACATAATAACTAAATATATCAATACGTATTTCAGTCAAAGATAATATATATATAGATATGCAGGCAGGTATAAATTTAGAGGTCTTGAGAAAATGTGCAAACAGCACCATCTCTGTCTAGAAAGGAATATAGAAAGTAATCAATTTGCTATAGATGTCTCTCCTTGCACATTTTCTCAGAGGTTCAAAAATTAGTTGTCTGCTACAAGCAATTTAGGAAGGAGGTTTCTACCTGCCTGCATATCTATATATATATTATCTTTGATTTCAGTCTAATTAAGATTTGTCCTTTATTGCCGCATTTCTAACCTAATTTTTTTAACTTTATAATTTGGGTTTGATGAGAATTGATAATCACACAGAAAAAATGCTGCAGATATTAACCTCCCGTTATTTTTCATAAAATATATATTTTCTACAGTAAGAAGCATATGAATAGGAAGACGACTTTTCAGCCCAATAAACATGAAACATGAGAAGTTGTGCAGTTTTCAAGGCCATTTCACTTGGTACGTTGATTTTCAAACTACAACTGGTTAAATTATTTGCTTTATAACAACACGAAGTACATATAAGATTGTTCAAAAGTCGTTTTTTATTCCACAGTTTTTTTATGGGTATTGTTTCTAACACCCTTTAAAGAATAAAATTAGTTGCAAAATGTCTTTTATAATTTACTTATTCTATCATAAAGAGTAAATTTTCTCCATCTCTAAAAGCAATCCATTTCTTCTGAAAATCTTCAGATAAATTTTTATCCATGATTTTTCAGAAAAGTATTTCTCTGTCTCCATAATTCATGAGTTCTAAATTGAAAGACACCTTTTTATTTCAGCGTTGTTATGATCCTCAGTTTAAAAGAATGAATGAATGATATTAGTAATTTAAAATACAAAAACTTATTTACTGTAACTCCTTTCTCCAATTTAGTATCTAGTCTTTAATATTTTCAAAGAAAGCTGTAAAAAAGTCATAAAATATTCTAACATTGTTTAATATTCGTGTAGTTGGTATTCATCAGTGAAAGGATAAAGGACTTTTGCCAGGAGTAGGAAACTTAAAACAAGTTCAGAAAACTTGGTTTGGGAATTTAGTTTGTACATTTGTGATTGATCAGTTAATCTTAATGGTTTGAGTTTAACTCCCTCTCAGGACAGAATAGATTAAAAAGTTTCCGCCAATGTTATTCTAAGGTTAAAACTGTTGGTTGAGTTTGTACTTAGCCACATCGACTGAGCTGACTGATAGATTTTATTTGTAATGAATCTTGGAAACTGAAAGAAATAAACCATTAAAGATTATCCGCAATATTGTCCTCAATTACGACAATTTAGAACTTACGGTGTTTTGTATATTATTTCAGTTTTCCCCAAACCTGGTTTCAAATATCGTCTCTTTAGTTTCAGACTCTGGTAGAAGATGTATTTTAACTTTGGATTTCACCCTATCTTAGGTTTTTTAGGACTAATATATGTAAAAACCTAATTAATGAAAACTATTTTTAAAACAAGATAAGTGATATGCAGACGGTCCTTCAAAGGGAGAGACCGGCTAGACATGGTAGTTGAACTAAGAGTGCAGTGTTATAGAGAAATTGTTCAGGATTTATTTTAGACCTATGAGACGTTTTTACGGTGTATAATTGTTCAGCAAGAGCGCAAATTCAATCTTTAAAATCCTCCTGGGTTGTCCAATCTGGAGGGATGATTTTGAAAATAATTTTTTTTTAATATGTATTGGCTCAATTTTCTTTGACCAGTTTCGCCAATACATATTTTTCCTGTGGGGCCCTACTAAAGAAACCAAACAGCTCGATATAAAATGGAGTACCGTCTGCAAAGCATGTATAATCATATGGTAGGGCGAACCGCGTCAGTTGTCTCTCCCTTCTATTCCTTGCTCCCTGGTTCAAATACCTTACAAATGGTTTGTTTGTTTTAAAAATCACAATTGTTTCATTTATTTATATTGTTGGATTTTCATAAACATTGGCTTTGCTTTAATTTTTTTTTATGAAACAGTCAATTAACAAACATTTTAATAATGTTTTCAACAATTTTGTTAAATTTATATATATATAGTGAAGATTTTTTTGGTTTTTTTTATATTTAATACAGTGATAAACTGTAGAATATGAAGACGACATTAAATCAATACTGATATGCCTTTGATGTTGTTAAAAAGCAAATATCTTTAAAAAGTAGTAAGTTATTAAATCATTTATTAAGTGAAATGGGTCACTAAACCTGTATAATTGCTGGGACTCATGTTTATTGAACTATTTAAATGCAGAACTTGAGTTTAAAAGTCGAATTCCTATTCCAAAATTTCGAGCTATCATCGAATCATATAATTTCCTATTGATTTTTAACCTATGCGTTATACATTTTACATACAGTTAAACCCTAAATGAGCCATACATCGAAAGAATTTATCAAATGTCGTCTTGACAATTTTTCAATGAGTTTTATACTCTATTACGTAAATTTTAGTATTTGCGAAAATAAATAAATAGCCATGAATATGCGGGAACAGTTTTAAAGAGCTCCATAGTATCATTTTATTAAAAAACTAAATATCTTCAACATTCCATTATCAGAAAGTAAAGAATACGACATTTGATGAATTCTTTCGATGTATGGCTTATTTAGGGTTTAACTCTACGTCAAATTGATTCCGTGAAGGTCGTCGTATTACTCCAATTTGTTATAGCAACCACAATCTCATATCAAATATTTGCTAGTATGGACCGAACTTATCCAGCAGAGATTGGGAAAAATGCAACAATCTGGTGTAAAACCTCATACCCCATTTTCTCAAGGAATACAAATATATTTATATTTGAACCTAAGCTTAAAGGAAGTATTTGGCTAGTGAGAGGGTGCAGAGCCGCCATGAGCCCCGTAAAATGACCTACGGAGGGTCCAGATTCGCCAAATTACCTCCTAGACAATCAAAGTCATCCCCGTGTCTCACGCTTTGTCTCCAAGCCTCGGCAATTCTTACTCCGCGTCCAGCATTCTTATCTCCAAAAACAAATAGTTGGATTATACATCCAGCAAAATCTTTATATTTGTTATCTTTAAATAAAGCTGCAATGATTAAACACAAGTTTAAGAAGTTGCGAAATTAAAAAAAAACAAAAATAAGTCTTAATCTCAAATAAAGTTTACTTTTAAGATTTTTTGATCATTTTGACATTTTTCGAAATGAAAGGCTTTCGTTGGATGTGCAATGTAAATATTTGTTATTGGAGATAAGAATGCTGGACAAGGAATGTCTAGCCATACACTCCCTTTAAAGTGATAAAAAAGAATTAAATATCCATAATCCACATCCAATATCTGTAATTTGGATTTATTCTAATATTCTGTTTTATCTAGTTTTATCAAGCAATTGGTCATAATATAATATCACTCCTGAGCTGAAAACCTTAGAATGGGATATCCTTAATGCCGATCAGTTAATTAAACTGGAGATTCATAACAAGAGGAAAACTAGCATTATTTATTCTGGATATTAAGAAAAAGAGTGGATCAAGCATTAAACCTGATATCCACCTTTCAAAAGTTCCTAGCTCAGGCAAAAAAATATCTTTGAAATCTATAAGAAATTTTACAACTTTCACAAATCAATCTTACATCTTTTACTATCTATTTTTGTAAACTTTTACTTAAGCCCCATTTTTCATTTTGAACTGCGTTTCAAATAAATACGTAGCGGGATTAGCTTAATCCTGTGATATAGATAATGACGTACATCTTAACTTTGCCTCTTTCAACTGTACTGTAATATGTAACATGATTGCCTTAATCATGTAATATAGACCTAGAATTGTAATTATGTTTATTAACTTTAACTTGTAACATATAAATCTCAAATACATCAGTTGATACAGAAACTCCGCTTTGATTACAGTGTTGAGAGTAATTATGGTTTCATTGAAACATAGGAATTGAGATTGTGTCTTCTATGAGACATTAATCAAGAGATCGCTATTGTCCAGTTAACATAGAAAACGAGATGGCGCCCAGTGTTACAGGCTTTGCTAGTTCACAAGAGTGTAGCTGTGTTGATCGTGTCCTGTTTATGACATTGATCAATAGATTGCTATTGTCCGGTTGACATAGCAAAGGAGATTGCGCCCAGTTGTAGTGGTGTTAATAGTTCACAAGATTGTAGCCGTCCTGTCTGAGACATTGATCAATTGATTTCTAGTGTCCATATTGACACCGATAGCCAACAGGATCGTGTCCTTTGATTTGGCATTGATAGTTAGGTGCTTCCAATTGATATCGATAGTTAACAAGATTGTATCCAGGTTTAAACATTGATAGCTAAGTGAAACTGAACTGATAGATACTGATTCGAGAATTTGTTATGGAGTAGGCGTTTACAACATAGGGACATATCTTATTGTTTAATATGTGTGGTAAAAATATAATATAAATAAAAAAGATCCTGTGTCATGGTTGCACCTGGAAATGAAACCTTGAACCTGGATCTAAGAACAGGTAGGCTTTTAATTCCGGGACAGTTCCCTTTAAGAAATAAAAATATTTTACATTTTAGGAAAAGTCAGAGATATCAGCTCCGCCACATCAGAGAGATATGAAGCATATTCAAATAAACAATTTCAAATGTGTGCTATTAAAATACATTCAGTAAAGGTTAATGATTTAGGTATGTTAATATTATAAATATGATTTAGAGCAAAAATCTCCTTTAAATTAATCTGATGCGTCTGTTGCGTTTTTTTATTGCAATAATAATTCAGTAAAAACATGTTTAATGATACAACGGTTAAATTTATGCAATCAAAATCAAGATCAAACAAATCAGTTTTGAAACTATGATAATTATTTTATTTCTATAGTCCGTTGTATATACAATGAAAATTCTCAATTATAATACCAAAAGACGCGCAAATTCAGTTATTTAATTTAAGCCATATTCCAATATGGTGTTTACTAAAGATACCAAGATAACAAAGTTACAGCTTGATTTGAAAATTGGCACCCTGTTTATTGCATAAACTTTCTTCGGAAATTGTTTTAAAGTTTTTTTGGGGGTTACTTTCTAGTGTTAACATTTCTCCCCAAAAACTTAGTTTTTTATTCACACTTTACACAATTTAAGATCATAGAGGAAATATTCAAAACATTCAATACCCTTTGAAATAATAATTTTAACCCGAACGATTTTTAAAATCTATCAAAATCTGTTATTTGAAATTATATTAGTTAGCAAAAGAACAGAGTTCTGCCAAAATCTTAAAAGTTTCTAATCCATATGTCTTTGGCAGTTGATATAGTAAACCTTTTATTTTTAAAACTTAGACTATTTGATAACATAGAATTCATAAAATATATCAAAGGTCTACAGCATCGCGTTGCAAAGATATAGAGATTTATAAACAAGAGTTTGTTGCGAGAACTCAGTTCCTTTAGACAATTTTGGTTTGTGGGTAAGGAAGATTCTCCAGCTCAAAGGGATACCTCTTTTACACAATGCTGACCCTCTAGGGTGACGCTGACCTCTACCTCGTTCTCTAGGGTGACACTGACCTCTACCTCGTTCTCTAGGGTGACACTGACCTCTACCTCGTTCTCTAGGGTGACACTGACCTCTACCTCGTTCTCTAGGGTGACGCTTACCTCTATCTCGTTCTCTAGGGTGACGCTGACCTCTATCTCGTTCTCTAGGGTGACGCTGACCTCTATCTTGTTCTCTAGGGTGACGCTGACCTCTACCTCGTTCTCTAGGGTGACGCTGACCTCTATCTCGTTCTCTAGGGTGACGCTGACCTCTATCTCGTTCTCTAGGGTGACGCTGACCTCTACCTCGTTCTCTAGGGTGACGCTGACCTCTACCTCGTTCTCCTCCAAGACCCTTCCTTGAGCACATTGTAGTCTTTATCAGGGACTATAGTCTGTTCCCTTCTTTCAGGAGACTTGACTCCCCAAACACATCTATTAGAACCTGCTTATCTTCGTTTGCAGTAAACTGTTCCCTGTTTTCCTTTTACTGAATGCATCTTGAGTTTTTAATATAATGGAGATCAAAATATTGTAGATCTAACAAATCAAGGTTTCTTTTTTATCTTGAAAAGTTCATCAATGGATTGGTTCTACTTGCAGAACAGGAAGCATCAGGACAGCTGCTAGAAGCTTCAAAAATGCTACTGGAAAAATCAGAACTTCTTCTAAAACCATCAGGACTACTACAGAAATCTTTGAAACTACTGACAGAAGCATCAGGACTGCTGCTAGACGCTTCAAGACTGCTACAATGCTTCTGAACTGCTACCAGAAGCTTTAAGACTGTTACCAGAAGATTCAGGACTTCTATCAATAGCTTCATGACGGCTGCTTCAGTTTCAAATTAACCTTATTTGGAGGTTATCTGATTCTCCAAATTTCAGGCATTACCTATAGGAAGCAACACAGTTGACCTAAGGCGTTCAAACTTTGATACAACATGCATTACTATTTTGAAGGAAAATACTTAACGTTTGAGGACCCTAACATTTACTTTTCAAAAGTTATCGCAAAAAAAACCTTATTTTAGTATTATTATGTTTGCGCATGCATTTGCATAGTCATTTTTATATCTGCACTCGCACATACATTTATGTACATTTTTCATTTTGTTTGCCTTTTAAGATGCAAATTGTCTTATTCACAATTTTTTTTAGGTAATCCAGATTATCTAGATGTGAACTTTGATTTTCAAAAGACAACAAGAATTTTAGTCGAGACCTTTCCTTCTGAAACTGAAATCTTAGCCTATGAGATAAAAACTCGGGAAATTTCAATAAGAAATCACTTTATAAATAACACTTATCAGTCATAAAACGACAAAATATGAAGAAACTTATTTTATAAAAGCTTTGATAAAATACATTTTAAGCAACATTCCTATTATATATGACAACTGCCAATTTGGAGCCGTAGGTAATTGAATGAAGTAAACCTTAGTTTTATTATAATTACGCATCATCAAATGTATTATTAAGGAAATGTACTTTACTCTATAAGCCTCTACAAGACTACAACAGTCTTGGAGGAATGTAAAGAAACACAGTGCTATTTAGTCTTGGGTTTGTTTGCATTCTTACCACAAACTGTAGTACACTTTATTTGTGGTAGAGATGTAAACAGGCCAGATTACTCCGTACTAAATGTACTGTACTACACCCTTGTGTTGTACACTGTCTTGAAGGATCTCCAATCAGTGTTCACTAATGTGCAAGTACGGTACAATAATTATCTAATTAAGGTCAGGACAGGCCAGATGATCATACCCGGTTCTGAATCTACAGAGAATGGGAAAATAGAGATATTTTATAATACTCTTATTTAGGACAATGGGAGTGTAAGATACTAAGCCTGGGATACCCGCCCCGGGTTGGGTTCATCAACCTTCTCGACAATGAGATGCGGTATGTGAAAGATGTTCGTCTGCCACGACATGTTCTACCTGACTCCTATATAATCACACTTGTACCTTACCTTATGGAAGGGAACTATACAGTTGACGGTCTTGTAGAAATTAATGCGCACATTGCAGATGCGCCAAACAGCTGTGATAATAAGGTGAGAACTGTCAATACAATTTCAGAGGTTTTATTCAATATTTGATTGATCTGCATTTTCTTTACCTACAGATAATCGTTACTTAACGCGAGGTGGCTCGAAAATAAAAAAAATAGGAAATGTGGCTCGGATTAAGAAATTATTCAACTTGTCATTCCTTCCTCACACCTATTTTATCTGTTTCAGTGTATTATTCTGCACAGTAAAGAGGCGGCTATTGATATAAGGCATATGCATGTACAGATGGGTGGATTCAAGCTAGTTATTAATAGTGTTGCATATGACAAGGATCGAAGTTTTTTAATCCTATATCTAGAGGAAGCTCTGGTTCCAGGGAAAGATTTGCGCAAAGAAATCGCCTTCTTAGGGGAAGATCATTTATTATCAAATAAAACTCCCTTATTATCAATTATCCCTTCATATCGAAGAAAACCATCTTATTATCAAATTAAATCCCTTTTTATCAAATAAAACCTTTAACAAATAAATCCCTTTATTTTCAAAGAAAACCCGTTATTGCCAAATCAAAAATACTTTTTGTCAAATAAAAACCCATTATTATAATATCAAAAATTCTTATTATCAAACACAAACCCCATCTTATCAAAACAAAAATGTTCGCAAAATTTCGCATTGTTTCGCTACTTTTCAAAACAATAAAAAAGATTGTGATTTGTAAACAAAAATCGGAACTTTCTTATTCGAAAACCAGTTGCTAAATAATTCTAATATGTAGCATTAAACTTTAAACTGTAGACTGTAAACTGTAAACTGTAAACTGTAAACTGTAAACTGTAAACTGTAAACTGTAAACTGTGAACTGTAAACTGTGTAAACTATAAACTGTAAACTGTAAACTGTAAACTGTAAACTGTAAACTGTAAACTGTAAACTGTAAACTGTAAACTGTAAACTGTAAACTGTGTAAACTATAAACCGTAAACTGTAAACTGTAAACTGTAAACTGTAAACTGTAAACTGTAAACTGTGAACTGTGAACTGTGAACGGTGAATGGTGAGCGGTGAACGGTGAACGGTGAACGGTGAACCTTGAACTGTGAACTGTGAACTGTGAACTGTAAACTCTGTAAACTGTAAACTGTAAACTGTAAACTGTAAACTGTAAACTGTAAACTGTAAACTGTAAACTGTAAACTGTAAACTGTAAATTGTAAACTGTAAACTGTTTCGAAATGTCTACGAAGAAAATTCGAGTTTGTGGCAATTTTTTATTTGAGTTACCAAAATATTTTGATAATAAATGATTTCTCTGTAAAGAAAGGTGCAAGATGAAATGACTGGGTTCTATAGAAGCTCCTATTTTGATTTTGCATTAAACCAGACAAAAGTAGTTGGTTCAACACAGTTTCAGTCTATTCACGCCAGGTAAATCCTAAACGAAACCTGGGTTATAATTGGTTAAGTTTCAACATGTAATCCATTGAAATATCGGCGAAACTCCATGAAAAAAGAACGACAGGAGAAAACTTCTCCGTAAATTCAAAAGTTTCCAGTCGACGCCATTTCAGTTCAAAAACGGGCTACCCACAAAGGATAAGACTTCAGAGACGACTGTACGGAATTTATTGAGTTTCTTTCTCTTGATTAGATGTTTTTTTGCCTGATCTTTAAAATTTGAATTTGATGTATCGCTTGATTGTTAATTAATCCTTTTCTGGAAGATTTGAAGATGAAAATTCAGATTACATTTTGTAAAGCGGCATGACATATTCACAACCTCGCCCTTTAAAGCTTGAAAGCATGATGAAAATGCAAGAAATATTAATAATTTCCTCTAGCTTAAATATATTATCCATATTATGATTAGGCTACCTATGCAGGCAGGAAGGTCACTTGAAATTACAAGGACATTTCTTAAAAGTCCTGAAATATGTTTTTATGTTTAAGGGAGGCATTCCCTTGTTTTGACGAACCAGACATGAAAGCTACATTTAAAGTAATATTGGGTAGACAAGGGAATATGATCACACTCTCCAATATGCCGAAGGAAAAAATCGATATAGTTTTAGGCAAGGATTTTTAAAATAAAGGACAAAAAGAGTTTTTAAAGTTACTGAATTCAAAGTTTGGAAACCAGTGATGTCATAAGTTTTTTTTAAATTTTTTGTAAATTTTATTTCAGAAAAATAAATTTGATTGAAAGAATCAAAATTTGCAGTTTTATGATTAAAGTTTTTTCAGTCAAAATGTTGCATGACGTCATGATTTTGTTTGTCTCCGTCCTTTCTCCTAAAAAGTCCTTGGTTTAAGGAACTGAGGTTGATGTGTATGAAACCAGTGTCAAGATGTCAACATATCTTCTTTCATTTATAATCTGCGAGTTCAAGAGCCTTTACCTGCAAACAGGAAAAATATACAAACAAACTTGAATTACTAAATATTTTATTTGTTTTCACTGATTCTAAGAAAGAAGCAAACATTTTTTTCAGTTATAAACTTTATTATACAGTTATGGAAAATTTCATGCAATTAAAACAAACTTTAAGTGATTTCAAAATTTCAAACTCGTCCATAATTTTGTAAACCACCTGAAAGCCAAAAGTCCTTGGAATAGTAAAGAATGTTCTGTTCAATAATTGGTACCTTCTCTTTTAACCAAAATATTTGAGCAGTCCCTTTATGTAAAATTGTATTGTCTACAAAGACCCGTTTTTTCCCTTACGCTTCAATGTGTGGGCTCAAGAAGATAAACTACCTCAGCTTAAACATGCTGCTAATATTGGCAAAAAGGTAAACACAGTTTAAACATGCTGCTAATATTGATAAAAAGGTAAACATAGCTTAAACATGCTGCTAATATTAGTAAAAAGGTAAACATAGCTTAAACATGCTGCTAATATTGGTAAAAAGGTAAACATAGCTTAAACATGCTGCTAATATTGGTAAAAAGGTAACACAGCTTAAACATGCTGCTAATATTGGTAGAAAGGTAAACACAGCTTAAACATGCTACTAATATTGGTAAAAAGGTAAACACAGCTTAAGCATGCTACTAATATTGGTAAAAAGGTAAACACAGCCTAATCATGCTGCTAATATTGGTAAAAAGGAAAACACAGCTTAAACATGCTGCTAATATTGGTAAAGAGGTAAGCACAGCTTAAACATGCTGCTAATATTGGAAAAAGGTAAACACAGCTTAAATATGCTGCTAATATTGGTAAAAAGGTAAACGCAGCTTAAACATACTGCTAATATTGGTAAAAAGGTAAACACAGCTTAAACATGCTGCTAATATTGGTAAAAAGGTAAACATAGCTTAAATATGCTGCTCATATTGGTAAAATGGTAAACATAGCTTAAACATGCTGCCAATATTGGTAAAAAGGTAAACATAGCTTAAACATGCTGCTAATATTGGTAAAAGGGTAAACATAGCTTAATCATGCTGCTAATATTGGTAAAAAGGTAAACACAGCTTAAATATGCTGCTAATATTGGTAAAAAGGTAAACATAGCTTAAATATGCTGCTCATATTGGTAAAATGGTAAACATAGCTTAAACATGCTGCTAATATTGTTAAAAAGGTAAACATAGCTTAAACATGCTGCTAATATTGGTAAAAAGGTAAACATAGCTTAAACATGCTGCTAATATTGGTAAAAAGGTAAACATAGCTTAAACATGCTGCTAATATTGGTAAAAAGGTAAACATAGCTTAATCATGCTGCTAATATTGGAAAAAAAGGTTTACACACAACCAGACCACAAGGCGGGCTAGGAGGTCTTGATTTGGCTTCAAGTCGGGGGGTCACGGGGCTGCTGAAGCCGGGGCACTACAGCTATTTAGGAAGGCGTAAATAGACCAGTAAGGCGGGAGTGAAGGCCTCCCTCAATATCGGCCGTATCGTATTTCTACTGGATTCTCATCTGTCTGGGGGTCCATATGTCTGTCTGTCTAACTATCTCTCCGCGTCACCAGATGCTGGCAGCTGCTTTTGAAATATAATAATATGTCTATTGCTTTTGGAAATTGATGAGGTTCTTTATCTTTATCGTTTTCATCGTTTTCATCGGAAATGTAAGAAATAAATGAATGGCTAGCCATGATTTTTTTTGCTGGCCTTTTTCCTATAATATATACATTATACATACAGTATTAGTTTTTAGAAGTATAAACTAACTCACACCGATTATTCACTTTTTCCTTTTTTCCTGTTCTCCTGCTCCCGTTCCCTTTATGCCTATTAATTTTGTATCTATTAATTTAAATTTAATTACTTAATTCAATTATTTAAATAAATTACAGTAATAAGCATAAAGAATGAAATACTTACCAAGATTATTCTCTTTCTCCTTTTCTCTTCCTCATGCACATTCTCGTTCCCTTCTTTTTCATTACCTCTTCGAACGGATATAAGAATTATATCCATAGAGAATAGAATATATATATAGAGAGGAATTTACTAGAAAAAAGTGAAAAACGGCCATTTTGTTGTACTGTTTCCATACTGCAGGTGTACTTCACATATTTGTGCTATATAACCTATTGGGCCCTGGAATATCATTTTATTGAAAATCTAAAATTATTGTTAAAAGAAACCCAAATAATGAAATAGGCTGGTTTCATAATTGACCAATGATCATTTCACATAGACTCTATGCCTTCTTCTTTACAAACGATGATTTTCCGTTATAACTATAAATCAAATTCACCTAATTCATTATTAACAGTTTAAAAAATTCGAAATTGAAATGGATAGTATACGGAACATACTGTATTAATGTACTCTACTGCATATAATTTGTGAACATTTACATGATTTGTACACTTTGAACTCCCTTTCAGTCTGAAAGGGACTGAAAAATTCATACCGAGAGATTCTTTTAATTCCTCTCTATATATTCTATTCTCTATGATTATATCGTTTTTCAGGCAATCCCATTTTTTGAGGATATGTTTGACTTGAAGTATCCTCTGGCGAAAATAGACTTAGTTGCAATCCCAGATTTCAAGGTTTGGAAAATAATCATAGCAAAAGATGTTTGCAAAAATATTTTTTCATTATTTTTGATTACAAATTTTTAGTATGGTGCCATGGAGAACTGGGGAATTCTTTCCTACAGAGATAAATTTCTTTTTTATGATAAAACTGACAGCTCTGAATTAAATAAGCAAGTTAAAATACACACTTATCTAAAAGGGAATGTAAGCGTAATTAAGCGACCCTTTGTGCCTGATTTACAATGGTGCCCTGGGTTCCTTAATCTTATTAAAAGTGTGAAAGATACCGTCATGGTTCTGACTTGAAAAATGTATAATCCTGATACAGTGATAACCAGAAAACTGCTGAATATAAAGATTAAAGCAATACTGAAGTACATTTGATGGTCTTCCTATTCCAGAGTTTTATGTTTATCACTGTTTATTTTCTGTATTCTTTGATTCATACTTGATCAGACAAAGTTACGTTGTAAATCATTCATATCTTTGCCAAGAGCATTACCTAAAATTATGCAAATCGAGCATAGCCATCTTTGCATAGAGGGTCACCTCAAATTGCTCTTACAGTCCCTTTAATATGCTTGTATCCGCTTGCTTGAAATTCATATTTCTTGATTACAAAAAAATTGCAAAAACAAAACAAAAAACTTATGTAAGATCAATATGACCAACTAAAACCCACAAGAGGAAAATTTGATTGAAAAACCTTGATATCTATGGTTGTACCTTTAGACTATTGATATCTATGGTTGCATATCTAGACTATTGATATCTATGGTTGCATATCTAGACTATTGATATCTATGGTTGTGTCTCTAGATTAGAGATATCTATGGTTGTATGTCATGAGATAGCTCATCAATGGTTTGGAAACCTTGTGACGATGAGATGGTGGAATGATCTCTGGTTAAACGAAGGCAAAAATTATAAATAATCAATTTTCAGCTAAAAAAGCAAGATCTTTTTATTAATCCTTGACACAAAAAAATGTATAAAGGGTATTATTATAAATTAGACATGTACTGTCCTAAGAAATAATATGTTCCTAAATAATTGTTATTTCTAGGGTTTGGCACTTATATGGCGTATGTTGCTGTAAACTCTATCAGCCCTGAAACAAAATTATTGTAAGTAAAACTTTTTATTTTACAAACTTTAAGAGTAATCTTCAAATATCTAGAAAGGATTATATTGCTTCTTTCAAATAAATTGAGATATCAATCAATGATAATATGAATGATATATTGTACTAAAATTATTGATAAAAATTGTTCAGTTTGAAGAATTATATATTAAGATATTTTCTTCTCTTTCAAACATTTTATACAGTCTAAGCTTTACAGTATAGTTATATAGTTAAAGGGGTGGGGGGGGGGGAAGGTCCCGCATCTACAGCTTGTCCAAAAAAAACATGTCTATCAAGTTTGGTATTGAATATGCCTGTAATGCTGCCCTACATCCCATTGCCAAAACTATTTGAAAGAAAATAGAGATTTTTCTTCATTTTGAAATGGTTTCTTACATCTTTAGAGAGAACTATATAATACTATAGAATAGCGGAAGACAACATTTTATTTTATCAGCATTATTTCTTTTAATGTGAAAATAAAATAAATAGGTTTACATTAGCTTGAGAATAAGCTTATTAAGTGAGATGGGTCTGTGTACACTGCACAATTGCTGTGTTTTAAGTCTATTAAACTATTTAAATACAACTTGAGTCAAGATGTCCTATTCCACAGTTAATGTGCCCCCTTTTAGAATTGCATATTCAATATTTCAAATTGCATGGTTTATTGAGACTCAATCACTACTGTCTCTATCTACAGGGTTACCCACAAGGAATGAGTTTATAATGACGACCTGAAACACTTTGGTTACAGCGACTTGAAGCTTGAATTAGATTTCTGCCACTTAAAAGTCTTTTAAAAGTTTATTAGAATTTAGAAGATTTTATAAAGAAAGAAACAAGTTGCAAGGAACCATGAATATGACAAAAGAGACTAAACATTCTGTTTAGTTGTCTCTGAAGTCTCAATATTTTTGGATAATCCTGTATCCATCTAGTTTACTATCTATTTATTTGTTTGTATGTTATGTATTTTAAGGAAAGGTTCTATACATTGTTTTTCAGCTGGTTAAATATAGATAGAAGAGAGAAAACTTGGCCTAATATCTGTCTAATCCTCACCCATTGTCTTATTTCACTCCAGTATAGAGAGATATATAGATATATAGATGGATAGTAGGATGGATAGAAGGATGGATAGATGTATAGATAGAGAGATAGATGGCACATCCAGCGGAGGATAATTAACTTAAAGTCTAGAGATTGAAGATTTACTGTAAGTTGGAACTAGCTAATTCTAGCTCTACTCTATACACACACCTGGAACCAGATAATTCTAGCTCTGCTCTACACACACCTGGAACCAGATAATGCTAGCTCTACTCTACACATACCTGGAACCATATAATTCTAACTCTACTCTACACACACCTGGAACCATATAATTCTAGCTCTACTCTACACACACCTGGAACCAGATAATGCTAGCTCTACTCTACACATACCTGGAACCATATAATTCTAGCTCTACTCTACACACACCTGGAACCATATAATTCTAGCTCTACTCTACACACACCTGGAACCATATAATTCTAGCTCTACTCTACTCTATAATTCTAGCTCTACACACACCTGGAACCATATAATTCTAGCTCTACTCTACACACACCTGGAACCATCTAATTCTAGCTCTACTCTACACACACCTGATTCTAGCTCTACTCTACACACACCTGGAACCAGATAATTCTAAATCTACTATACACACACCTGGAACCAGATAATTCTAGCTCTACTCTACACACACCTGGAACCATATAATTCTAACTCTACTCTATACACACACCTGGAACCATATAATTCTATAGCTTTACTCTACACACACCTGGAACCATATAATTCTAGCTCTACAATACACACACATGGAAACATATAATTCTAGCTCTACTCTACACATACCTGGAACCAGATAATTCTAGCTCTACTCTACTCTACACACACCTGGAACCAGTTAATTCTAGCTCTACTATAAATTCTCATTTTCTGTTCTTGTCGCTGCACCAGGATAATTTTCTCTGTTCTAGCTGTAACACTTGGCTCTCATTGCTTTGTTGAAATTGTTCCCTGTGAAGAACATCATATATACTAACTATTATTGCTTCTAGGGAACAGATTGCTTTTATTGAAACCAAAGATATCTTCGTTCTTGACGCAGTTAAATCAGCAAAACCATTATCTGCAGAAGTTAAAAACCCGGAATTTGAGGGGATGCAGCCCCAGCTAGCTATGTACAAGGTTGACATTTTTATGAATAGAATATTAGTTAGGATTAAAAGTCTGAATTTATTCTCTAGGGTTGCTTGTTGATCAGAATGATGGAGAACTTTTTAACCCCAGAAGTGTTTAGACAGGGTCTGAGAAATTATTTTAAGGTTTGTTAAACATCTACACTCTACACTGTATTCCCAACGGTTTTATTAGTACTAAGGTAATTTGAAAGGTCTAACGCTCTTGAGCAAAAATCGATGTAAATGTAAAGGGCTACAGAAAATTATGAAAAAATCATAAGCAGTAAAATCTAATCTAATCATAAGCAGTAAAATCTAATCCAAGGCGATGCGATACTTCAAAGTCGACCCTGTCTTAAAAATTTATGAGACCCCACTACCTTGAAATGACAAATATTAGTATGTTTGACACTTCTTGTTTTTATTTTGCCAATTAGTAAATTATTTTCTTATCCGGAAGTTCTTTTGTTGATATTGAACTAGCCTGAAACTTTCCTTGCCTTATTATTACCTTGCATTGGCATGGCACTTTAAAAAACCGTCTTAAGAAGGAATATTAAACTAACTTGGTCCATAGAAAGCTATAGCAATGTTAATTAAAAAGCGACATTTCTCTCTGTCTGTAAACAAGAAAAGATGCATCAGTGTTCCTCAAGTATCTGAGGCGGATAAAAGCATTTAATTTTGATAATGTAGCAGGAAAGTGATGGATTGATCTTTCCTGCGATCATAAATAGTATTTTTTCCTTCTTTCCATCATTTTCAGTTTCTCCCCCCCCCCACCCCTTCTTCCATCCCTCGTCAGATCTAACGGATTTATTCTTGTTTGTGTTTAAATTCTATAAATAACCCAAGCCACGCGGAGAAACCGTTATCCCAGAAACCTGGGGCTGGTGGGTTAGCCGGCCAGCTCACGGGGAGGCTAAGGTTAAATGCGAACCCAGGGTGGAGCGAAATCTGGGGAAAAAGAGTTAGTTGGTCGTCAGCTCCCTTAAACTGAGGTTCCCTTGAAGATTCCCCATCACTCTGAAACTGCTTCAATTCAAAATATTTTATTAGTATAGTATCAACCGTTTCATTTTTGTATCTTTGTAAATAATAAATTGTAAGAAAAACCGACTCGTGGAATATTAATTAATACAAGTGTTTGCATCTATTTATTTTCTTTCATATACAATAATAATTCACATAATAGTTTCCTATGACCAGAATATTTCATTGATTTTTTATGTGAAAGATGGATCCCATGTCAGGCTGTGACAACCGTCTTGTGTTTACATTACAGACAAAGAGAATAGAATATATATTAGAGGGGAATTTACTAGAAAAAGTGTAAAACGGCCATTTTGTTGTTGCAGTCAAAACATAAACAAACAAAATGTAAACATAGCAGACGAAACTCTTACAGATTACAGCTTTCTCAGTAGGTATCACTATACTAAATCAAAGAATTATTTGAAAAGACGATATCGAATTCGTCACTGAATTCCCATGTTTTTTTGGGACACCCTGTATCTATTTATCTTTCTATTCGAATCTTATAATTCAATTACAGATCCACATGTGTAAATTAGCGGCAAAGAATTCTAGGGGAACCATGCAGAGACAGTTTAATTACATATCTGCGGCTGGTTCAACAGAAAGTTTTTAAATTATGAATTTTATGTATTTTTGGCATTCTGATGAATGGATGGAATTGTCAGAGTATTTGTCTTTACTTTACAAGTTTGATGAAGGGAATTTTATATATGTTGGATTATTGCAAGGATGTAAGGCAAGGAAAGTCATTTCAGAAGTGTACAGATCTTTTGTACTGCAGTGTACTGTCTCTGGGCGGTAATGTAAACACAAGATTGATGTCGAAGCCTGACATGGGATCCATCTTTCACATGAAAAATCAATGAAAAATTCTGGTCATAGGAAATTATTATGTGAATTATCAAAATTATCAAAATTTAATGCTTTTAACCTCCTCGGATACTAAACGGACACTGATGCATCTATTCTTGTTTACAAATTCCGCCCAGAGAGAACTGGTTTCAATATGTACACAGAGTATACACAACCGCAATTGACTTTCCTTGCATTACATTCTTGGGTTATTGCATATTTTACATATTTTAAGATTAAGGGATTTGTGTCATCCCCCCGTTCTGTTAATCAAAAGCTGCATAGTAAAAATGTTTTCAGGGTAAAGGCCCATTTTAAAAATGAAAAAAGTAAGTCAGAAAAATCTATAAATATGCCTTTTTCAAACAGGGACACATAAAGTTTAAAAAATTACCCCCCTCCCTCTTTTTTTTACAATTTTTTATAAATGTGTAATTTAATTAATTTAACTGAAATTAGCATATTTTTTTTTACGAAATTTTGTCTTTTTCAGCAATTTATTTTTATAAAATTTTCGCGTTTTTTGCGAAATATTTTTTACTTCGTAAGCGAAAGAAATGCGAAAAAATGCGAAATTTTCGCGAAAGGATTTCCCCTTTTTGCTGGAAATATTTAGATAGTTTAGCAATTTTTCTTCTAATTGATTAAATTTGGTCCCAGGGTGATTCCTTTCTCTGGGTGATTCCAATCTCATATAAGAGCATATTGGAAAATCTGTCAGATACTACAGGTAAGCTGAACCTTTAACCGGCTAATGCAGGATGGGTGCTCACCGCTTCTGATGACCCCATTTTCATATCTATATCTAAGTATTTAAAAGTTAAATGAATATGTTGATTACATGAGTTGAAAATAAGATCGATCTCGTCCGTTCGGTTCCGGTGCTATCATCTGTTCTTTTCAGCTTCTGCGCTCATCCGCCCTCTTTTGAGCGCCCGGGCGCGTTTTAAAGTTCAAAAGTCTAAAGAGAATGTGCCTGACAATTTAGATGAAGCTTATCTATCCAAATTGCTGTACTTGAAGGATATAGGAAGTGGTTTATTCAGCCTCAGAACCCATCAAGTAAACTCAGGTTTACTAAATATTGGTCAGGGCGCCAAATGAAGCATACTCTTAAAGTACGAATAATGTGAACGTTTTTTTTCATACCTCGAGACATAGATTAATAACAATACAGATAGAACACCATCTCTCTCTGTCCTGTCATTCAACGTAGCATGCGCGTAACTCCTTCGGGCTTCTGCCTCAGGGTTATTGTAAACGAAAACCTTTAAACGTCATTAAAATTATAAAAGATCAGCGATGCATTGAGAAACTTTTTTGATATTCCTCAAAGTTATATATCAACGTATTTTCTAAAAGATGTAAACACAGACTAGATATCTATAAAAAACTCACATGTAGTTTTCAGTTTCAGATCTAAAAGTAGTCTGAAAGCAATATCGTAGTTTTAAAATTGTTAATTATGGTCCTCATCACGGTAAATTAACGGTCCTGGTAAAAGACCAGTGAGATCTAATTTTAGAGCCCATTTTCACCCATTAAATGTAGATTTTCTGTATCTGCATGACTCAAATTTATATGTAGATTAAAAATACAATTATTTGTTTATAGTGAATTTTTGGTTAACAGAAAGCGCCGCTACTTTGCCAGCTCGTAACAAAGAATTACTTTTCTTCAACGCAGGTAACACATGTAAACAAATAGACCCACAAGTTTATGCAAGCATTTTATTTTAACAAATTCCAGATTTTTTTCGGCAATTTGTAATTTTTTTTATTAAAAAACAAAAAAAGAAAAACGCTCATAGTTTTGCGAATAATGGAATGCACTTTTAGTATAGTTACTGACCCAAAAGTTTTTGCAACAAAGTTCAAAATAAATATGAATGAAACAAAACGGGTTTAAGATAAATAAGAATAAAAGAGAATAGTTTTATTAGGAACAATGGGAGGAATCATTTCAATGAAAATATGAAAAAGTTCACGTCATCATCTTTTTTTTTCACAAATTTGTCAACTAAGTGAATTTGAAAAAAATCAGTTTTGAGAAAAATATATACACTACACTGCAAGTTTAGCTTGATTTCTCCCTCTAATAGGAAGTTGAGCCCAAACCTCCATGTTATACTTCTCTTATGACGCATGTAGTCTGCTTTGAAACATTTGTCATTCCTATATAAGGAAGGAAAAGTGTGTTCCTAAGGTACCAGGGCCGTTTTCCGACAGCTTCCTATTTAAGGAACTCTGGATGGAAATGACCTTGCTGCCTTAGGACTAATCTTTTCCTTCCTCTTTGAGGTATTACATTCTGCTTCAAAGCTCGAGTAAATGAGTCATAAGAGAAGTATAACAAGGAGGTTTGGGCTCAACTTCCTATTAGAGGGAGAAATCAAGCTAAATAGCCTTTTTAAATCAGGAGTCCTTACGAGGCATTCCAGTTTTGGGACGATGGAAATACAGTGAGCTTGGGAAATCAGCACTGTCAATGTTACTAAAAGTTACTCCCACCCGTTTACCCGCACTTGAACGATTTTAACGGAAAACTAAATTTTCGCTATTAAAGTCGACTCACTCAACATAGAATCTCAAAACCAAACTAAGAACATTCCTGTGGGTCTTTCGAGTCACCCAACTAAATTTTGAGGCATATCGGTCCAGGGGTTCCTGAGTTTTGATTGGACAAACAAACAGATACACAAACAAAAAGAAAATAACAACTTTATGTATATATTTAGAAGATGCTTTGCTTGTCTGTTTGTATGAAATAAAATTGCGCCAATTCGAAAAGAAAAACTCGCCAAGATTTGAAAATATGTTTTAAAATGCCCGAATTACAGAGCAACAGTTGAATCATAAATGCTAAAATTATTTACAGGAAAAAGGGGCGTGAAGCTCCATTAAAGCCTATAGTAAATATATTTAGATAAACAAATTTTATTTTGAGTTTAGGTCGAATGGGGTACTACAGGGTTAGTTACTCTATTGAACTATGGGATCGGGTAATTGAAAATTTTTCAAAACTTCCAAATGTGGTTCGAGCACAACTAGTGGACGATGCTCTTTTCCTATCCCGGACTAATTCGATGTTCTACTCCCAAACATTTAAGCTTTTAAATAATCTCAGGTTTGCAACTCTCTCAGCATCAAAAATATCTGTAAAAGGTCTAGAGGTCTAGACGTAATTTCCGGGTGACCCTTCCTACATTTAAAGTTTATTGAAAAAAGACCCCTGACGAGATGGGTGGCTTCGGCTTTTTTCCCTTTCTCCGTTCATCGTTCATGACCGATCATTTCGTGTTTTTCAATTGTTCAAAAATATATTCTATTTCGTTGTTCACTTTCTCATTGAACGCCCATTCAGTAAAATCGTGCATTAGAACAAACAATTAAGAAATCTTTCTTGAATGATCAAGATCGTCCAAACGATCTTAAATATTTTTTTTTCGCTTGTATTAAAAGCCACCGTTTTTTATTTCTCTGAATAATCTAAGTCGTATGTCCATCGTTCGTTTTGTTCTGAAAGACACGATCATTCACGAAAAAGGAATTTAGTCTTTGCCACAAACTCAAACTTTCTAATTCCTATAACTTTGCAGTCTGATGGTGAAAACCTTTTATATTACAAACTATTTGAGCGAACAGAATTCATATTTTGAAATGTCTAATATTTATGATATTGGGTTGCAAAGATATAGGGGTTAGAAAATCTGAGTTGAGTTTGATACAAAGACTCATGATTCCTTTCTTTCCTTCTCAAAAATATCTTTTTCACATAAATAATGCCAATTCAAGTGTTTATCTGAGTATTACTCTTGAGTAACGATCATCTTCAAATGGGTCACTTGAAATTACGTGAATAGGACTATTACAGGGTGTCCCACGAAACATGACAGTTGGTGAATAGTTTAAATCATAGAGAATAGAATATATAGAGAGGAATTAAAAGAATCTCTCGGTATGAATTTTTTCAGTCCCTTTCAGCCTGAAAGGGAGTTCAAAGTGTACAAATCATGTAAATGTTCACAAATTATATGCAGTAGAGTACATTAATACAGTATGTTCCCTAGACTATCCATTTCAATTTCGAATTTTTTAAACTGTTAAATAAACTTTATAATGAATTAGGTGAATAAAAAAAAACCTTTTGATTTATAGTTATAATGGAAAATCATCGTTTGTAAAGTGGAAGGCAAAGAGTCTATGTGAAATGATCATAGGTTAATTATGAAACCAGCCTATTTCATAATTTGGTTTTCTTTTAACAATAATTTTAGATTTTCTATAAAATGATATTCCAGTGCCCAACAGGTTATATAGCATAAATATGTGAAGTACACCTGCAGTATGGAAACAGTACAACAAAATGCCCGTTTTACACTTTTTTCTAGTTAATTCCTCTCTATATATTCTATTCTCTATGGTTTAAATTGCCTTCTTCCATAATTTGCAATGTTGATTGATACAAGATTATTGTGTGTTACGTTCACAATAACCCTGAGACAGAAGCCTGTTCTACGTCCACTACATGTTACTCCTTTGGGCTTTTGCCTCAGGGTTATTGTGAACGTAACACATGCACAGAAATCTTGAAAAGACGACATCTAGTGTCTTATCTGTTATCTTAATTAATCTATCGTTATGGACAATAACTTTCGTTTTCCAGAACTTTTAGAGGTTTTGGACTTTTAAAAAGCACCAAACAAATACTTTTTATGGTTCCAACATTTCATAACTATAACATAAAAGTTTGCTTTTATTAAACAATGCAATGTTTTTAATCTAAGAGAAAACTCTAGAAGACCTAACCAAAACATCTATCGATTTGGTGCATTTTTTTTGCTAATATTTTTATCAAAATTTGGTAGGGAATTGTTTAGAAAAAAAGGTTTTGAATTTTGTGAAATCCTTTAAAAGTCTAAAAACATAAAACTCTCTTGTCCAAAACTAGATACAGGGTGTCCAACATCAAATTAGACCGCGCCAATGGGTCTAAATTACGATTTGGGGACAAATCAGATAATTTAAGAAGAATGAATCATTTTGAAAAATTTAATAAGGCTAATAGAAAATTTTATTTGTAGAAAATGCTAAATTTTTTGAGTATCATGTGAGTATTTTGGCGTTAAAGATTGGAGATAATATGATATGAGCTGAAAACTTTAGAATGGTGGATAACGGGATTAATGCTGAATCCACTCTTTTTCTTAATCTCGAGATTAAATATTGCTTGTTCTCCTCTCATTTTTAATCTCCAGATTAATTATCCGATCAGGATTAAGGATATCCCATTCTAAAGTTTTCAGCTATGGGACGCTCAATATAAGTGCACTGTTTATTATAGAACTGAGACTGACTATGTGGTTCTATCAGCTGCTGAGAATGGATTAAAGTTCTTGATGAATATGCTGGTTGATGATAGAAGATATGACACTTTTCTCGACTTCATTAAAACCCTGGTAGAGAAGGTGTATTACGAGGTACGTCGGTGTTTTTATTGATTCAATGAAGACGACATATCTATTCATTTTTTATTTCTAGCAGGTTGTTTTTTACATGAAGACGACTTTTCTCTTTGATTTTTGCTTTCTAACAGGTTTTTTCACACGAAGACGACTTTTCTATTTGATTTTTGATTTCTAACAGGTTTTTTCACATGAAGACTACTTTTCTGTTTGATTTTTGATTTCTAACAGGTTTTTTTCACATAAAGACGACTTATCTATTTGATTTTTGATTTCTAACAGACTGTTTTACATACAAGTTTACAAGTAACAAAGAGAAGCTGTAAATTTTGAAAATTAATATATAATATGCAGTATTAATATTAACAATGCTTAATATACATGTATAAATTTGATATGAATTTGTTAACACAAATTCAAAATATAAGGAAGATGATTTTTCCGACTCAAATGCAGTAGCCTTTTCTCAAGATGCGTGTGTACACAAGATCCATTTCCGCCATGAAGTACACACATGTAACCCTCGCTCCTTCTTTCCCCGCCTCACCCCTCTATAACACATCCCAGCTCAGTTAGGTTTGGAGAGTTGAGCTGGTAACAGCTCCGACACAGGGAGCCTCTTGACTCCTTTATGATGATGACGCAGATACTCAGTGCGACGCTCCTGTTGATCTGCTCCACCAACATGAAGCTCTACATCACTCCCATGAAGTACCCACAAATATTCATCATTAATTCCTTTGTTAATTTCTAAATCAACCAATTTTAACTCCACCTTAAATGCAAATATTTCAAAACTTTCGTTTTTTAAATAAATGTTAGAAATATCCATTTTAGATCTCTTTATTTTACTATAGTGACTTTTAAAGTCAACAGAATTAGATATTAATGTTTTTGTCTCTTTAAATATTTTCATCTAAGATTTCTCTGCAAAAGTTCCTTGGGATTCCTTGTTTTATATGAAAAATCACAAAAAGAAGCGACGGTTTCTTCCACGTTTTTGATCAGATTAAGGTTCAAGGGTAACATTGTCAATGGGCAATTTCAATTGAAATTTTCCAATGTTAGGCCAAATTTTTCCGAACTAAAACTTTGGAATGTTTAAAACCAAACCCTTTAAAAACTAGGCAATTGTGAACATATTTTCTTTGAAAACATTGTAAAATAAAAAAAATAAAAATTTAGCTGGTTTTATAAAAAAATTTCGTGGATTTTTAAAATTTTCAAAAATCATCCAGAACCCTTCCATCGGGTCACGCGAGGTCCCACAAACAATTTTTGCCCGATGGGTTCAGCTGTTTTGACGTTTATAAGATACAAACAGACAAAAAACACCCAGACAGACAAGCATAGTATATGTATACATATCTATTGTCTATTGTCTAAGCCAAATTATTTATATAAATTGTACAGGTGAGAGACAGTACTTCCGTCAGATACCAAGATGTAGTTAAAAGAAGCTTAGTTATGAAATGGGCCTGCTCTTTAAATATCAATGATTGTATTGCTAGAGCTGAATACATGTTTAAAATCTGGAAACAAACTGAAAAGAATTATGAGCTAAGGTAACCTGTAACCATTAATACTTGTGATTAGTGTCCTGGATGCTATTGGATTCTTTTATTTTTTTCGGCTTCCCAAAAATCTAGGAGGTAGAACTGTTTCTTTTGTGTAAACGTTTGCTTTTATTAAACATGCAAAATCTAGACTTCAATTCTGAAGAAAACAACCTTTTCACTTTAAAGAAAATGTAACTGCATTTTTTCAGTGATTCTCCATGGAAATGTACGATTCACAATGGTACCCTTGAAACCTTAATTTGATCAATAATATTAAAGATACTATCGTTTTTCTAGCCATAATAGTGTTTAATTCTAGAAATTCTCATATGTTTTTCTGTAGTAGTAATGCGCAAGTCAAGTGTAGAGAAACCCTAATTGAAAATAATCAGTTCCAATATGATATCTGATTTAAACTTATCAGACAAAGCTTTTAAGGGTACATCAACCTTTTGATCTTTTACAATTGTAAATGCATTAAAAAATAACATTTCAACCATGTTCTTGGTAATTTGTAACTCAGATTTTCTAAGCCCTATATCTTTGAACCCAATATCGTCGTTCTTAGATTTTTCAAACTATAGATAGATGCTATATCGATAGGACTAAAGGCCGATTGGACTAACGTACAATTACACTAAAGTTAGCTGTTCACAAACCGGTTTGTAGTCCATTTGATCATCATTCCATATGAACAAAATCCACATTCAACATGTTCAATTAAACTTATTATATATTTTTCCCGCCAATTTTTATTTATTAAAATTTATCATTGATCTTCGTGCTATTTTATGGCATTTGAAAATTATTTAAATTGAACATTTTCCACATAAAAATTGTTCAAATGGACTAAATATTTTCTCAGAAATTTAGTGCAATTGAACGTTAGTCATAACGAACATTTTCCACACAAAAAATTGTTCAAATGGACTAAATATGTTCTTAAAAATTTAAAGTGCTTTTGGACGTTAGTCCTAATGAACATTTTCGACAGAAAAATTGTTCGTTTGAACTAACTTGGAAATTGTGGCAAATTTATGAAAATTTTAGCATTCAGTACAAATGAAAATTTATTTGTTCATTTTTTCTAAAATGTGTTTGTTTAAACTAATTTGGAAATTGTTGCAAAAATATATGAAAATTTTAGCATAATTAGTACAAATGAACATTTTTTGTTCATTTGTTCTAAAATGTATTCGTTTGAATTTGGAAATTGTGTCAAAATGATGAAAATTTTAATTATAGTTCAAATGAACATTTTTTTTGTTCATTTGTTCTTAATCATTAGTCTTATTGATATTTCACCGAACAAATAATCTAAGTTTGAAATATCGATTGTTCACACCATCTGGTTGCACATTTTTAGGGATTAGAAATTTCAAGTTGTCAAATTCATAGGTTTAAGATTTTTGTTAACAAACACTGCATCAGTTTTCTCAACCCATGTTTTAGCGTTAGTCCTGATGATAAGGAGTGGGTGTATTGCTATGGTTTGAAGTTCGGAAGATCGGAAAGAGACTGGGATTTTATTTGGAAAAGGACTCAGGTTTAAACAGCTTTGGAATAATAAATGAAAATAATCCCTCCCCCCACCAATTTGACTTTTAATTTGCTAAAACTGTATCTTATCTATCTAAATGTATCTTATCTTTCTAACTGTATCTTATCTATCTAACTGAATCTTATCTATCTAACTGTATCTTATCTATCTAACTGTATCTTATCTATCTAACTGTATCTTATCTATCTAACTGTATCTTATCTATCTAACTGTTTAGGAAACGAAAAATATCCGTGAAAAATCTGCTCTGTATGAAGCTCTCGCATGCACGGACAGTATCAGCCTTCTTGATAAATACTTGGACATTTCTATTGATCCTAATTCTACAATCAGGTCTCATTCTAAAGGGATTGCTCCCTAATTCTACAATCAGGACTCATTCTAAAGGGATTGCTCCCTAATTCTACAATCAGGTCTCATTCTAAAGAGATTGCTCCCTAATTCTACAATCAGGTCTCATTCTAAAGGGATTGCTCCCTAATTCTTCAATCAGGTCTCATTCTAAAGGGATTGCTCCATAATTCTACAATCAGGACTCATTCTAAAGGGATTCCTCCCTAATTCTACAATCAGGTCTCATTCTAAAGGGATTGCTCCCTTATTCTACAATCAGGTCTCATTCTAAAGGGATTGCTCCCTAATTCTAAAATCAGGTGTCATCTCAAAGGGAGTGCTCTCGAAAAATGATATAGGCTGATATCGAATTGAATTCGTTATTGTATGCCACTAATTTTACTTTTATCGGTTGCGACTATGCCAAGCGTGCTTCTTGAAAATGTTGCTTAAACCTAAATTTGAAATGAGGATATCATGTCACCATGTGTACATGAGGATATCATGTCACCATGTGTACATGAGGATATCATGTCACCATGTGTACATGAGGATATCATGTCACCATGTGTACATCACCATGTGTACATGAGGATATCATGTCACCATGTGTACATGAGGATATCATGTCACCATGTGTACATGAGGATATCATGTCACCATGTGTACATTTTATTAGAAGTTTGTATTAACCTAAGTGAAGTAACTCTGAAGTTAGCAAATTTTTTAAAGTATAATCTAAATCATCTCAATAATCAAAATAATCTTTTCCTTTCTGATGAGAAATATAATTTTGTTTTTTTTTACACACCCTGAAAGAGATGTCAATGCAAAGTACTTCAGTTAAATAGAGGGACACTTACAATTCACAAAAGTACCCGTTACATACTTTCTGATCAACAATGTGGAAGATATCGTTGTTCTGCAACAAAATCTATAAGAAACCACAATTGAAAGTAATTAATGTTAATGTGTGTACATATGTTAAGTGTATCGTAATAAGTCCAATATTTCATAGTAAATGGTTGGTCACTTAAACATACGTCTTCAGAATCACTTTGGGTGTGCAGTCCTTTTAATGATAACTAAATTAAGGAAGCAAGATAAGAGATATGTGTATTCTGCAATTGGTAAAAATAATGTAAATGGAGCAGTGCGTATGCTTGATTGGCTTGATGAGAACTGGGAACAGATATTGGTAATTTTTTCTTGAATCATTTTTGTCTTAACTTTAGTTAAAAGTAAAACACAGCATTTATTCCAGTATTTCTTTTATCGAGAGACAACTTCTTTTTTTCGAATAAAAAAACTTTTTTTTTAGAAATATTATGAAGGAAATTTCCCATACAACGCAAAATTTATGATTGAGCCCTATTCTGAAAATGCTTGTACCCAGGAGCGTTTTGATAAGTTAAATCAGTTCTATAACAAGAACAAAGCAGAGCTTGGTACTTCAGGGCAGATTGTTGAAGAAGTTTTAGATAAAATCAAAGCCAACCTCAGATGGAGAAAAATTTCTTATGAAGATCTTTTCAGAGATCTAGAAAGGGTTGTAAAAGAAACAACAGCAGGCAATGAAGTGACCACTAATTCCAATGAAATAGATGGAATTGTTGTTGAAGAAGGGCCAAGTGATAATGAAGGATCTGGAACTGGAAATACAGAAACCCCTACTGGCAATGAAGAATCTGCAACTGGCAATGGAGGATCTGCAACTGGCAATGACGGATCTGAAACTGGCAATGAAGGATTAGAAGCTGGTAATGAAGTATCTGGGACTGACAATGAAGAATCTGGATCTGGCGATGATGAATCTGAAACTGGCATTGAAGGATTAGCAACTGGCAATGACGGATCTGAAACTGACAATGTAGGATCTGAAACCAACAATGAAGGACTAGCAACTGGCAATGAAGGATCTGGAACTGACAGTGAAGGATCTGAAACTGGCAATGAAGAATCTGAAACTGGCAACGAAGGATCTGCAACTGGTAATGAAGAATCTCCAACTGGCAATGAAAGATCTGCAACTGGCAATGACAGATCAGAAACCGATAACCAAGGATCCTCAACTGGCAATGAAGGATCTGGATCTAATAATGATGGATCCTCAACTGACAATCAAGGATCGTCAACTGACTATGAAGAACAAGGTAATATCGCAAATATATGAATATCGCAAAGTATCACTGAGTATTCTGGTTTATTTACCAGGCCGTCTAAATGCGAATTATGTGGTATAAAGTTTGGTCCAATGACCATGCGAATAAAGGCATTTTTCGTTTTTTTTTTCTATGAAGATAAAGAGCGTAAAAAAGCCCTTGTTTAAATTTTCGAAAAGTTTCATATCATTTTTTTCTTTTTCGTTGGTAATTATTTTAACTTCAACTTCAACTTAAGAAAATCCCTTGGAGATGAAAAACGACTTAAAAGTCTGCTTTAATTAATGCACTTTAAAATGATTTAATTGCATGAATGTAACCACAGTTTTATAAAAAGGCATAAAAAACACTAGATTTTCATTTTCCCATTGCAGAATAAAAATCGGGAGACGGAACTCCATGATTCAATGCAAATCTTGAAATTAAAGACACTTGAAAGTACGCCGACGGTAACTTTTAGAAACTAAAATTAATATTTTTACTAATGAAGTAACAACCGATAAAGAAGTAACCGAAGAAGAAACAAGCGATACAGAGGTAACAACCGATAAAGAAGATTTAACAGATACAGAGGTAACAACCAATGGTGGAAGAAAAAGTGGGAGAAGAAACTCTAGACGGTGGAGATCCATGATTCATTATCTGATGAGAAACGGATACCCCTATCAAGAGGCTAAAGCTATTGTCAGAGACGAAAATAGGTTAAAAAAAATACTTGATAACAGGTATCAGACTATTCTAACACTTAGAATTTTTTAATTAAAAAAGCTTGAGTTGCTGCCGAAAATTCTAAAATATCCATGTCTCTGCAACCTGATGGTGTAACCCTTTGATATTTCAAACGTATACTATTTAGTCCAATAGAATCTATAAATCATAGTTTGAAATGTCAAAGGTTTACGACATCATGCAGAGATATGACATTTTTTTGGCAAACACTCTACTCCTTTTCCTATCAATAAAACTGGGGGATTGATAATTTGAGTAATATTTTAAATTTTCGCGTGAATTACGCTCAGTTCCCAAATCCAGGGCGCTGACGATGGTTAAATGTTTAGATTTTGAACCTGTGATTGAAAAGACGACTGAAAGGACTAAACTAAACATGCGGCAACATTTTTTATGCAAAATTTGAATATGAAGATAAATATTATGAATAATGATTTTGAATATATAGTAATATAAACCGACGTAAATTCAAGATCTCTCCTTTAAAGATGAACATTTTCTATTCACAACGACGCGATGTGCCCTTTAAACCTTTATCTTGGTATTTTTATATCTTGGTCTTAACTTCCATATCTTGGTCGTAAGGTCCATATCTTGGTTGTAACGTCCATATATTGGTTGTAACGTCCATATCTTGGTTGTAACGTCCATAACTTGGTTGTAACGTCCATATCTTGGTTGTAACGTCCATATCTTGGTTGCAACGTCCATATCTTGGTCGTAACCTCCATATCTTAGTTATAACGTCCATATCGTGGTTGTAATGTCCATATCTTAGTCGTAACGTCCAGTTATCTTGGTTGTAACGTCCATATCTTGGTCGTAACCTCCATATCTTAGTTGTAACGTCCACCGTCCATATCTTGGTTGCAACGTCCATATCATGGTTGTAATATCCATATCTTGGTCGTAACCTCCATATCTTAGTTGTAATATCCACGGTCCATATCTTGGTTGCAACGTCCATATCTTGGTTGTAACGTCCATATCTTGGTTTGAACGTCCATATCTTGGTTTGAACGTCCATGTATTGGTTTTAACGTCCATATCTTGATCGTAACCTCCATCTCTTATTTGTAATGTCCATGTCTTGGTTGTAACGTCCATATCTTGGTCGTAACGTCCATATCTTGGTTGTAACATCCATATTTTGGTCGTTACATACATATCTTAATTGGTAACGTCCATATCTTGGTCGTAATGTCCATATCTTGGTTGAAACGTCCATATCTTGGTCTTAACGTCCATATCTTGGTCTTTAACGTCCATAACTTGGTTATAACTAGGGTTTTTCATCCTTTTTGATAACGACCGTTTTTAACAAACGATATTTTTCAAAAAATGATCGTTTAGTTTTTCTTTGTCTTTATAAAAACGAAACGATCGTTTATAAAAAAATGGAAACAATCCATTACTAGTGGAAACGTCTATATCTTAATCTTTGGCGTCCATTTCTTGATCGTAGCGTTAATAGCTTGTTCATACGTCTATATCTTGGTTGTAGCGTCCATATCTTAGTTTTAATGTCCATTTCTTGGTCGTTACGTCCATTTCTTGGTCTCAACGTCCATATCTTTGTTGTAGCGTCCATATCTTGGTAGTAACGTCCATTTCTTGGCCATAACGTCCATTTCTTGGTCTCGACATTCATATCTTAGTTGTAACGTCCATATATTGGTCGTTAACGTCCAAATCTTGACTGTTAAATCAAGTTCTTGGTCGTAGCGTCTAGTTCTTGGTCGTAGCGTTCATATCTTAGTTGTAACGTCCATATCTTGTAATGTCCATAACGGATTTTTTCAGTTATGGACGTTTAGTTATTTTAAAAACTAATAAAGCACTATTCTTTTTTATTTTACATTTTTTTTATTTATTTTTTTACATTCGAATTTTAAAATTTTGTCACAAGGTTTTTGACACATATTCTTGGCATTTTTACTTAGCTTTATTTTTTGACTTTCGCTTAAATTTTCAACATTGTCTCTTTTACTTTTTCTCATTCAAAACAAATTAATTCATGCAAATTATCATACTGTTGCAAATCTAAAGCTGCAATGCAAATTATTCTGTATATTCGCGCGGTAAAGTTCACATTTCTGGTTAGAATCTTAGACATTATACAGATAAAAAAGAGAATAAACTATTATATAAGACTGGACACATTAGTATTTTTGAAAACGTTCCTTAAAAGTTAACATAAGTGATATATTCCAGTATATTTAATATACTGGAAATAAAACCATGCCTGTAATAAAAGAAGCTTTAGTTCAATTATATATTAGTTCATAGGATCAGTAGTTCAAATGACAGTATTCAAATTTACAAGCACTAAATGTTTAAAATGTCGTAGTCTTAATTCTGAGAGGGTTAATGAAGTGTGAATACAGTAAAGGAATATTGGAATTAATCTTCTGCTATTGCCAGTAAAAGATTCCAAATTGTAACTTGTATAACGTGCTACAGTTTAACTTGTATAACGTGCTACAGTTTAACTTGTATAACGTGCTACAGTGTAACTTGTATAACTTGCTACAGTTTAACCCAGAATTTTTGAGAATCAAAAGATAAATTAAATGTCGTTTTCTTAACCTACTGTTAAGGAATGCCACAGATATTTAGCTTTTTATTGAATTATTATTTGAAGCTCTTAAAAACTGTTCCCAAATATTTCATTGCTATTTGTTTATTTTTACAATTACTCAGATTTAGGTATAATTAGTTTTAAACTACAGAAGTTTTATTATTTATAATTAATGATTTCTCTTCCTTTACTTTAATAAATGTTTGATGAAAAATTCGCAAATATGCATTTTTTTCGCGAAATTTTCGCATTTTTTCGTTAAACTTAAAGCCAATTTCGCAAAAAACAGCGAAAATGGCGAACAAATGCGAAACTTTCGCAAAACGACTTCCCCTCTTTGCTGGAGACCCTATATAAAACACATTGAAAAATTGTCATAACAATATTTTTTTAATTCTTTTGATGTCTCCGATGTTGTGTGTTAAATTGTATAGAATCAGTTAAGTTATTTAAAATATCTGCTAATTGATGAGGTTGTCTGTTCCGGTAATTAGAAAAGTAAATGAATGGTTTGAAAAAAAAGTCTAAATGTGCCCAGCACTATCTTTGATAGGAGGAGGCCGGGCAGTTTTGATGCCATGAGGTGTGGTTATTATATCATGCACATTTTTTATATCTATACATTTTTAGACAGCCTCTGCTTTGAAGTGTCACAACGCCTTGGCCTTTGGTTTTACTACACCAACTTACTAATACGTTTTTTGTAGCCCCAGACAAATACATTTTAAAATTGCAAATAACTTGTTCAAAAGGAGTAATTGGCAAAACACTGTTTTATTTTTGCTTGAGAGGGTGACCATCTTGGTTTGCAGTGATAAATAGACGTGACAGGACCAGTAACATGAGTTGATAGATAGACGTGACAGGACCAGTAAAATGAGTTGATAGATAGACGTGACAGGACCAATAACATGAGTTGATAGATAGACGTGACAGGACCAGTAACATGAGTTGATAGATAGACGTGACAGGACCAGTAACATGAGTTGATAGATGGACGTGACAGGACCAGTAACATGAGTTGATAGATAGACGTGACAGGACCAGTAACATGAGTTGATAGATAGACGTGACAGGACCAGTAACATGAGTTGTTTCATCTTTTCCAATGCAAATCTCATCTTAACAATGAACATTTCTCCTCTTCAGTTAATCCTGCAGTAAGCGAAATCCTGAACATCTATGGAGTTTGAGCTCGGCCATTCTATCTACCACACATCATCCAGACAGAACAAACACAGTGCTGTAGACAGAGGGATCTGCAACACAACCTTCAATACTGATCTCGTCTTATAACTGTGCGGTTCTATAGTCAGAGGTATTCCACGCCGCAGTCCTTCATTTATAAGATTTGTAGTTACTCGCAACATTTTTGAAAATTAATTGAGTCTTTGCCACAAACTCTAATTTTTTAATCCCTATATCCTTGCAACCCAATGTTGCAGACCTTCGATTTTTCATACTATGATTTCTCCTAGATTCAATATACTAAGTTTGAAATACCATCAGGTTGTAAAGATAGGGATTTGAACATTTGAGTTTGTGGCAAAGACTCAATTACTTTTCCAATAAGTTCGGCGAAAACTTTTTTTATATAGAAGTAAATATTTCTGCCCTAACAATCTAGACAAGGACTCGAGGGACTGAAGGGAGAGAAAACCGGAGATAATTTTTCAACGTTTTGCAAGGCTCCCATCAGAATATTCCTCAATTGTTGAGCAAATATCGCGCAAATTCCCAAATCATTAAGGTTTCTTCAGTTCACATGGTCACATAAGTGCCATTTAGTTTAGTAGCAATAGTTCACTGCATAAAGCTACCTTAAGTTTTTAGTGAAAAATGCTAAACTTTAACTCTTATAGATCAAAGAATATCCAAGAAACCACAAATGATCTAGGACTCTCCTGCAAACCTCTCAGGAACCATGGGACTCTCTTGGGAACTTACGGGGGAACTAGGGTTCTCCTTCAATCCTCCAGTGAACTAGAACTCTCCCAGGAACCTCTGGGGATTTAGGGCTCTCCTAGGAACCTCCTGGGAACTAGGGCTCTCCTAGGAACCTCCGCGGAACTAGGACTCTCCTATGGATCTCTTGTGAACTAGAACTTTCCTAAGAACCTCCAGGGAACTTTGACTATCCTAAGAACGTCCAGGTAACTAGGACTCTCCTAGGAACCTCCAGGAACAACTAGGACTCTCCTAGGAACCTTTGGAATTTTGATTTATTGAAATTTGCATTATCTCCGTGAATTTTGAAGATCCAAAAATGGTAGACCACAGTTTGAAAATCTCAAGACCAGGCGTTTTCGATATTGGATGCTTGAGCTGGAATACTGCATCAATTGTGTTCATGAAATCCTGCATGGATTGAAGACGATATAAAAGTCCTCACTGAATTCCCATGTTTATTGGGACACCCTGTAGTTTCTTGTGTCTATGATTCCAACCTGTGAGTTGTGAACTTTGCCGCGCAAATATACAGAATAATTTGCATATACGAGCGTTAAATTTGCAACAGTATGATAATTTGTATGAATTAATTTAGGTTTATAGCAAGATGTCACCTCAACTTTCCGTTCCTTAGAACACAGTTTAAACTTACTTTATATATATTTATCAAATAAAAGAGAGCTTTGTATATAACTGATGTAAAATCTGCACGTACTGAAATATCAAGAGTTAATTGTTAAAAATTGCATAAAAATCTAAGAAATGGAAGTACAAAATTATAAATGTTAATGTAAACAAATTAAAAAATTGGCGTTGTGTCTAGAATAAAAAAGTCAATAAATGATTGTCAAAAAATCAAGCATATAAAAAAAGAATTTGTTTGGAAGAAAAGATATTAAAAACTAAATGTTCAGAATTAAATGTCAAGATATGTCATATAGAACTAAATGTTCAGAGCTAAATGTCAAGATATGTCACAAACTGAATGTTATGCTATGGACATATAGAACTAAATGTCAATAACTGAATGTCATAAGGACTTACTGTATAAAAAAGAAGGTTACTGTCGAGGCGCCTCAATGTACGGAAAATGTCTCCTGAGATAGATACAGGGAGCAAGGAATAGAAGGGAGAGACAACTGACGCGGTTCGCCCTACCATATGATTATACATGCTTTGCAGACGGTACTCCATTTTTTATCGAGCTGTTTGATTTTTTAGTAGGGCCCCACAGGAAAAATATGTATTGGCTCAATTTTCTTTCACCAGTTTCGCCAATACATATTTTTCCTGTAGGGCCCTACTAAAGAAACCAAACAGCTCGATATAAAATGGAGTACCGTCTGCAAAGCATGTATAATGATATAATCATATGGTAGGGCGAACCACGTCAGTTGTCTCTCCCTTCTATTCCTTGCTCCCTGGATAGATACAAACATCATATGACGTCACTTTTTACAGAGGCTAGAGTGACGTCACATGATGTTTTTATCTATCTTAGAAGACGACATTTTTCGTACATTGGAGCGCATAGAGAGTAACCAACCTTATTATATTAAAACCTCTCTGCATTATCAACTGATAATAATAAAATAAATAAAAGAAGAGTGCACCTCCCATAAACATTTTTATTAACAGAAATATTAAAAATGAATGTTTAATATACTTTATTTCCAACTACATTATTATACAAACGTTTTACATGAGGGGGAAAAATAATCCAAATTAATAATTATCTTTATAATAATCGTCTTCATATTCAAATTGTTCATGAAAAATGTTGCCGCGTGATCTTTTCATTTCAGTCGTCTTCAAGATTCCACATTTAACCTCTAAACATTTCATTATCAAATCTGCGCCTTAGATTCGTAAATTTATCGAAATTAGGGCGAAAATCTACTAGATTTTTTTAATACTTCAATAAAACTGAAGTTAGAAAAAACACGTTGACTATAAAAATACTTAAAGTGGGCATGGGTACGGTTAAAACAAGAAATAGGTGCCTGGTGACACTGTAAATCAGGCCCATTATACACATTACCAAACCACAGGGGGTAAGAAAAAAAGTTTGGATTTTAGAATCCCTATATCTTCGCAACCTGCTGGTTTAGGTGGTTAAAATTTTCAACTTAGATTTTTGATCCAACGGAATTTTTAGTTTGAAACATCTAAGATCTACGACATTGAGTAGCAAAGACAAAGGGATTTATAGAAATCAAAGTTTGTGGCAAAGACTCAATACTTTATGAAAATATTAAAAATTTAAAAAAAAGACAGATACCTTAAATTCAACAGTATATTGTTCAACCGACTTCTGTCTGTGATAATAGCTTTAGCTTCTTGATACATCCAACCGTTTTTCATCAGAAAATCAATCATGGTTCTCCACCAGGAGTTCCGTTGCCCACTTCTTATTTTGCCAGTGGTTGTTGCTTCTGTAGTGGTTGTTGCTCCTGTAGTGGTTGTTGCTTCTGTAGTGGTTGTTGCTTCTGTAGTTAAAATATTATTTTCAGTTTCTGTAAGAAACTGTCGGCGTAATTTCAAAATCATTTATACATCCTTTGCTTTATCTTACAATTGAATTTTTTTAATTGTACATATACAAAAGAAGCAATGAAAAAAAAATGAAAGAGTTTAATTCTAAATTTTAAGGAAATAAAAATGACATCTTTCTCATTGTTAACCCGATAATTAGCTAAATCGGACCGGTGTGAGTAGGGTAAAGTAACACTTGAAATTAAAGGTCACTGAAATCTAGGACGACATTCCTTTTAAATAAAAATATTGACTCTACATCAAGTTAATACGACTGAATACATATATTGTATGTGTTGTACCAGCACGAATCATGCACCGTTTAGATGGTGTTAGGAATGTTCCCAATGTCATTTTCCCAAGGGCGACTTCCCAAGTTGAAAATTTCCCTAATGTACTTTTACCCAAGCAGCAACTTTCCAAAGGTTTGGCTAAGGCTTCTGAGGCGCAGCAGGCTGCAAAGGGCCGAATGATAAGGCTAGGTTGTGCCTGGGGGCAGCATGCTGCAGCTAGAAAAGGCCAGGAGGCCAAGCTCTGGGGCTAGGACAGACTTGGAAAGTTGCCGCTTGGAGAATTGAACATTTGGGAAGCTGTCACTTAGGAAAATACCCTTGGGAAGTTACCGCTTGCAAATAAGCCTTTGAGAAAGTACTTCTGTTAGACTGGGGTGAATGATGAACATCACAAAATCATTGCATGAGTAAATGTTAATTTGACATGGTTAGTTAGTTTGCAAAAAAATCCTTTAGTCTGCCTGAAGGATGGCCTAGTACTTTAAATAAACCAGAATTTACAATAATACATTGGAATATGCATTACCTGTTTCATATTCATCTTCTTCTGGTGTTTTATCATTGCTTTTTTTAGTTTCTTTATAGTCAGTTGACAATCCTTGATTGTTTGTTGAAGATCCTTCATTATTAGTTCCAGATCCTTCATTGCCAGTTTCAGAACCTTCATGGCCAGTTATAGATCCTTCTTCATTGTCACCTGGTCCTTCATCAACAATAATTTTATCATTTTCATTGGTATTGGTGGTCTCTTCATTGCCTGCTCTTGTTTCTTTTAGCACTCTTTCTAAATGCCTGAAAACAGCATCAAAAAACGTTTCCCTCCAATTGAAGTTGGCTTTGATTTTGTCTAAAACTTCTTCAACAATTTGTCCTGCAGTGCCAAGCTTAGCCTTGTTCTTGTTATAGAACTGATTTAACTTATCAAAACGCTCCTGGGTACAAGCATTTTCAGAATAGGGCTCAATCATAAATTTTGCGTTGTATGGGAAATTTCCTTCATAATATTTCTAAAAAAAAAAGATTTCAACATTATTTTTCTGGCAAAAAGTAGTAGCAAAAAATGGTTTAACTCAAAGTTTTAAGACAAGACAAAAATGATTCAAGAAAAAATTACCAATATCTGTTCCCAGTTCTCATCAAGCCAATCAAGCATACGCACTGCTCCATTTACATTATTTTTACCAATTGCAGAATACACATATCTCTTATCTTGCTTCCTTAATTTAGTTATCATTAAAAGGACTGCACACGTATGTTTAAGTGAAAAAAGCGCTTCATACTCATTAGTGCGTTTCATTTTTCAATCCAAAGCGTAATTAAGTCAATTAGATTTAAAACGAATTTGAAATCCCTAAAATAATGAGAGCTAGAGACACCTAGTGACCCAAACAAGTAAAACATGTTTTCCATGAATTCATCAAGGGTTCTACGCTCATGGGTATGAGGCGTTTTTAACCATTTTCTCCTATTGTTAGCGATCATTTTTAATAAAAAAGAGACCTGATTGTAGAATTAGGATCAATAGAAATGTCCAAGTATTTATCAAGAAGACTGATACTGTCAGTGCATGCGAGAGCTTCATACAGAGCAGATTTTTCACGCACTATTTTAGTTTCCTAAACAGTTTTAGCAAATTTTGCCTTAATCCTAGTCGACACTCTGTGGACTCCCCCCCCCCCCCTGAGAAAAAAGTGTGCAACCTTGAAAGTTACGCATAATAAAATACAAAACATATATATATATATATATACCGTTTGAACCTTGGAAAGAACAGACTATAGGCCAAGCGCTGCGGCTAGAACAGGCTAAAGGCCAAGTACTACGGTTGGAACTGGCTAGAGACAAAGCACTGCGGATAGAAGAGGATAGAGATGAATTACTGCCAATAGAACAGACTAGAGACATAGCACTGCAGATAGAACAAGTTAGAGGATAAACACTGGGGCTAGAACAGGCAAGGGGCCAAGCACTGCAGATAAAACAGGCTATAGGCTAAGCTCTGTGGCTAGAACAAACTAGAGGCCAAGCACTGCGGCTAGAACAAGCTCTAGAGCCAAGCACTAAGGCCACAAACTTATTTTGAATCTTATTGTGGGTAATTTTCGAGGTAGCAGCCTTTAACTCCACATGGGTTTCTAATTGTTTTACTGCAAAGCACTTAATTTAAACCTGAGTCCTTTTCCACACAAGATCCCAGTCCTCCTGAGATCCATATTTTAGACCATAACAATACACCCACTCTTTTTCATCAGGACCTACGCTAAACACGAGGGTTCAATTTTTTTAATCCCTGTGTTTGTGCAACGAGAGTCCGAATTTAAAGAATTTAAACCGTGTCGCTGATCGACCAAAAGCCTGTTACAATGGAGCACCGTCTTAAATGTCAAAACACTTTTTTAATTGGAGCCAACTATTTTTGAATTGCAGCTCAAATTCTTGAAATCTGAGGCCAAATTTAAAGAAATGGTTGGTTTCACTTAAAATTGCATTCAATGTTTCAAGATTTAAGCCGGCGCTCAATTGTAACTGGTTTTTGGCGGATTTAAAATGCGGCTCAATTTCATTAAATCCGGACACTGGCCTCTGATGGTGTAAAAATTTGATATTTTAAACTAGGATTATTTGATATAACAGGATTCATAGTTTCAAATATCTAAGGTCTAAATTAGCAGTGGGTTGCAAAAATTTAATCATTAGAAAATCACACTTTGTGAGAAAGATATTTTACTGGAACCAAAGAAAAAGGTGCAAATGTAAATTAACTTTTTTCTGGTTACCTTAGCTCATAATTTTCTTCTGTTTGTTTCCAGATTTTAAACTTTTTCTCAGCTCTATCAATACAGTCCTTGATATCCAAAGAGCATGTCCATTTCATAACTAAGTTTCTTCTGACTACGTCTTGGTATCTGACGGAAGTACTTTTACTCACCTGTGCAATTTATGTAAACAATTTGCTTATACCTGTCTTGCATTAGAAATTTTAGTTTAGGCGAGGATAAGCATCGACATTGTTCAATTAAAGTTCTTTCCGTTTGTTTTTACTACTAAGCTAACAGTTAAAACCTTACAAATACCTCATCATAAACCTTCACTACCAGACTCTTGGTGAACTTGAGAAAAGCTGGATATCTTCTATCATCAACCAGCATATTCATCAAGAACTTTAAACCATTCTCAGCAGCTGATAGAACTACATAGTCAGTCTCAGTTCTGTAACAAACAGTGCATTTATATCTAGTATTGGATATGAGAGTTTTATGTTTAAAGACTTTTAAAAGGTTCCACAAAAATCTGAACAGTTTTGCAAATACTAAAACTGTTTTTATTCTAAACATTTGCTTCCTTTACCAAATTTTGACTTTGAGAAAGATATGCGAACAGAAAACAACCCAAGAAGGATAGTTTTTTTGGTATGTTTTTTCTTTAAAATTGTTTTAAAATGTTTGAACAAACCTTCACAAGTTTGCAGAGTTTGTGTGGTACCTTTCAAAGTCCAACCCACTAAAAGTTCTAGTAAAGTTCCTCATATAAGATGGAAAATATGAACACAGCAAATCAAAAATTATAATTTTATTCAATAGTGAAAAAAAATTTGAAAATTAAAGACCTTTTAGTTTTATTTTGCAGATAAAGATATCTAAGTTCAGTATTTGGAGAATAATTCATTTTTGGGATTCTAGAATTTAATCAAATGTAACTTCAAATAAGGGAAATGATTTACTCCGACAAGCGCCTAAATCAGACATCAAACTCATAAAGGCACCGTTCACTTACGTGGTTATTTCAGGGTAAATCAAATAGCATTCAAATATTTATTGGTATTAGTCATTTTTTTAAATTTTCATTAAAGATTTATACAAAAGTGTACAAAATTATTTTAATAGAGTTGCTGTAATCCCTTTAATAAATCTTTACAGCTTGTAAAAATACTTCTCAAAGACAAGTATGGAACAATCCACCTCCGACATTAATTTTTTGACATTTTCAAAATAAATGGTATTAGCTATATCTAAGCTGAGTAGAGAACCTGGTGAAAAGAAACAGTGCACTCCAAGACCATATACAGGATAGACATTTGAGACTAAGCCTGGGGACTTCTTCCACTTCATGGACAGCTCTCAGACTGATATATCTTCATCATGACTACCAGAGGACTAAGAAGGACCCCAGGATCTTCCCCTTCTCCAACATGAAAAAACATCCTCCCAATCCTCAGCATCACTAAAAATATCAGAGGACTCTCTTTACTCTCCAGCTTGTTCTCGGACAGAACCACTGGAGACATAGAGCAGCAAGAGGATCCAGTCTTTGTTCTCCAGCTGGATCTATGAACAGAGTTACTGGGGGCTTGGAGCAGCTAAAGTATTTATAGGACATGCAGAAGCTCCATATTCTCGAGTTGGTTCTATTGGCAGAGACACCCGAGATGCAGAGCAGCCAGGACCTCTTTGGCATACAGAAGCTTCATATTCTCAAGTTGGTTCTATTGACATTGACAACCAAGATACAGAGCAGCCAGGACCTCTAGGACATGCAGAAGCTCCATATTTTCGAGCTGGTTCTTTCAACAGAGACACCCGAGATATTGAGCAGCTAGAATACCAATATAGACCAAAGATTCCAGGTAAAGAAGAGATCATGAGGATCTACGAGGACGGGATCTACATGAGGATCTACAAGGACAGGATCTATCGTTCTCCAGACATGATTGAGAAACCAGGAGGTTTACAAATAAGAGAATCTGGTATGAGAGATAGAAGAAGATGCTTGAAATGGATCAGGTCCAGCTTCAGCTTCTGACTCCAGATGAGGTCTATTGCTAGAGGTTCTATTTTGTGATGATTGAATTCCCGTCAACCAATCAGTGGGGCAGGAGCAGTGGGGCACCGGGAAGGTAAGAAACAGATGGAACCCCCATCAGAGAGGGGGAGGTATATAATGAAAGGGTGTTGTACGCTTGAGAACAGAGGTGGAACTGATACTGAAAAGATAATAACAAAACAAACAACAATGAGATGCTAATTGGCTATTTAGTCTACCCTGAAATTTCCCAAATAAGTGACCCTTTCAATGTATTCTTGGTACTTACAAAGTTCCAAACCTGAGATTATTGAGAAGATTAAATGTGGAAAAGTAGGATAGTTCACCAATGCGGGATAGAAAAAGAGCATCATCCACTAGTTGTGATCGGACCACATTTGGAAGTTTGGGAAAATTTTCAATAATCTCATCCCATAGTGCAGGAGAGTAATTAACCCTGTAATACCCCATTCGACCTAAACTCAAAAACGTTCAATATTATGATCTATATCTATATATTTATATTTCTGATCTCTGTTCGTCTATTGTTCTGCTTTTATGTCCAATTAAAACTCATGAGTCATGAACCACTTAACCGATTTGTCTCACAGTTTCTTTTTGAAACTCGGCGGAACTACTGTAATGATTTAGCTTTGTTACTTTTAGGGAAAGTTTAGTTACATACTATCAAGTAGAGTTTAATCCATAATAGATTCACTGATGTCTATTCTGATATTACAAGAGCAGTACTGGAATAGACTTTTCTATCTATCTACATAATCAACAAGCATAATCTAAATAGAGATCCCCATGTAAAAAACTAAAAAAAATTCTTCAGTTACACAGAAACAAGAGTGTCTAGGTAAAACTTGGTTCCAAATTATTAGTTAGAAATTTTTCTGTTAAGAAATGATCAAACCCATTTTAATGGCTTTTAATAGCAAACTTAATTATTCCATAAGAAGATGGGTTGGTTGAACCTGTCCGTGGTTCCAAAAGGCCTAGCAGAGTGTGGTTCATTTCATTGTTTACAAGTACTACCTGCATTGAAGATACATAATTCTTTGCTACGAGCTGGAAAAGAAGCCGACTTTCCTGTTAACCAAAAGTTCACTAAAACAAATTAGTTTATAAACTTAGAAATTTCAGAGAATTAGCAATTTCAGACCACTTCGGAAGCTTCTATAAATGAAAGCTGAATACTGTTCTTGGTAAACTATAGAGGTCCTTGTTGGTAAGTCCTTACTTTAAAATCCATTTTGACCCATTAAATGGAGATTCGTATTTGCTTTTTGTACTCTTTTGTGGGGCTCTATTTTTATAATTTGGATGTACAAGGTATCCCAATTAATGTGTAAATTAAGTGACAAATTCGAACTCGTCTATGTACTTAAAAGTGTAGTTAGTTTTATGTGTGTGACATAGAATGTACGGAGCATTTTTCTCATTACAGGTTTCCTTCGCGCAATGTTCCCCACTAAAGATTTCTATTAGAACTTCTCCACCAAAGAAAATTTCAGGCCATAAAACGTTTTCTACATTAAATTTTCCTTTGCTCTATATTTCCTCCACAATGTGTTTCCTGCCATAAAATGATTCCTCACATAACATTTTAACCACAAAACGTTTCCTACTACAAAACATAATGTAAACTTTAACAAAATTTTTCTATTATTAAATGTTTCCCTAAAAAGAAGCTGATCCTATTACAAAATGTGAACTACTCAAAAGTTTCCACTAAATGCTTGTTTCTTTAGCTTGATTATTAATTGTGAATATTGAACATATTTTCAAAAATAAATTGATAAATGTTTTGACAATTTACACCAGGAAAAAAATAGAGTTTACATAGCATGAGTAATTCACCTGAAAACAAACAATGTTTTCCATGTTTTTCTTTTCACTCCGAATTGGAGATTTTTTGTTAGTAGTTTATGTTAATTCAAATTTAAAAGTAAAGAATATTTTAAGATTATTCAATAAAAATTATAAAATCAATTCTTAACAAATAAACATAGACTGGAAACATTTCTCAAAGTAAACATTTTGAAGCAGGGGGCATTTTGTCGAGAAAACGTTTTGAAACAGTTAACATTGTGTGGGGATTTGTAGTACTCTGAAAATTCATAAAACTTTTAGGAATAGCTAAAGGGTTTCTCAACACACCATTAAAAAACTCTCCATATTATTCGCACAGAAAATGTCATTTTTAGACATTGTACAACTTGATCTACCTGGAGCTTAAGAGCACAGATGTTGTAAAACTTGATCTACCTGGCTTAAAGTCACAGTCCTATTCAGATATTGTACAACTTGATCTACCTGAGTCACAGTCCTGTTCAGATATTGTACAACTTGATCTACCTGGCTTTAAGTCACAATCCTGTACTTTTCAGGTATTGTACAACTTAATCTACCTGGAGCTTAAAGTCACAGTGCTGTACTTTTAATAGACATGAGATTTCTGTGATCCAGAAGTCCAGCTTACCTGAGGTATCTGATAGATTTCCAGATATACTCTTATATGAAATTGGAATCACCCAGAGAAATTCATCCTTCTGGGACCAAATTTAATGAATGGGAGAAATCATGGGTTCAACTACTTCTCAAGTACTCACTGGCTCAAATTCTGAATACCTGATTCAAAGTTTAAGACTTTAAACAACCCTAATTTGAAGTCGGCTGAAACAGACAATTCGCTGACAATGCCAACCAATCAGAGTGTTGAAAAAATAGAATTCATAAATCTATTTGCTGAAAAAAAACTCTGCTCTTCACTGTAGGATGGTTCAAAATTTTAAAACTTCAAGTTAAACCAGCCTTAGAGATATGTAATTAAACCTTCTCTACATACGATGGTAGGCGATCATATCAATACAATGAAGACAACTTTCTTTTAAGCATCATGGATGTGCACAAAAAATGGAAAGATAAGCTTTTCCCTAAATACTTGTAAACTTATAATTCAAAAAAAGCTTGTTATCAATAAAAACTTAAATAGAAAAGTTGAATTCATGATATTGATAGTATCGCCTACCACCGTAGTTCAACAATTTCTTGCAATTTATAAAGTTTGGTTCCTTGTTGGTTTCAGAATTAAGAGTAAACTTTTGCTGATAAATATTCCAGCTTCCCTCAGCAAAATTTACATGAATAAATGGATATCCTTGTTGTAGTGTCCAGGTATCCATAACATTCTTCATTGTCATATCATTTGGGAGGGATCTGTCTTGAGCATGTTCTCCAAGAGAATCCCATAAATTGTCTTCGACAGCATTATCATAAGCGTGTTCCTATTAAATGAGAAGAAGGGGATTTACACTTTAAAAGCAAATTTGAAAGATCTATTTATTTAAGTAGGTGTTTTATCTTATCACAAGTTTTCAGAGCCAAAGACTTTTGTTTAAATGGATCTAGCTAATCTGCAACATTCGTTATATTTCCACTAAAACCATCAAAAGTTAAGATTGAAATGAATTAATAGCTTTGTGACTTAGCTTCATCGTAATCAAAAGTTCGGGTTTTGAAAATATTTCCGTACAATGTTTGGCACTAAAGAAGGCGATTTTTGACAAAAGAATTATGATTTTAAATAGTTCAATGAATATGGTAAAATTATCTAAACTGTTTGCTCTATAATAAACTCAAAACATATGATCTTTCATCCCTGTTGTCTTCCTATTCTGGAATTCTTTTGATCCGCTGTAGAATGTGGACCTTAAGTGTAGATGCCATTATTTTTAACAAACCTTTAAATAATTTCTTATGCCCTGTCTAAATACTTCTGGGGTTAAAAAGTTCTCCATCATTCTAATTAACAAGCAACCCTAGAAAATAAATGTGGGTTTTTGCACATATATTCCATACATAGAAATAACGGTGTTAGGTATTTTCCCTAGCTCAACTTCCCAGGGGACAATTTTCAATGGGTCAACTTTCCAAATCTGCAAATTTGCAAGTTGCACCTTCCCAAATGTACATTAAAGGTTAGATTATGCCTTCTGATGCACCAAAAGTTGCAATGGGAGAAGATTACTGTGGGTCAAGCACTGTGGCTAGGACAGACTTTGGAAGTTAAAGCTTAGAAAATTGCACAATTGACATGTTGCCACTTAGGGAAATACCATTGTGAAAATGCCTTATGGAAAGTACATAACATAAAAATTACAACCTTGTACATAGTAAGCTTGGACTGCATTGCTTCATATTCGGGGTTTTTTACTTCTGCGGATAAAGGTAGTGATGATTGAACAGCATCGAGGTAAAAGATATCCTTGGTTTCAATAAAAGCAATCTGCTCCCTACGGGCAATAATAACAATGGTATTATATGAAAGGAGAGCCTAGAACATGGTTATAACAGACAAGGAGAGACTAGTAATAGGTTTGAACAGACAAGGAGAGACTAGTTCACTGTTAGATCAGACAAGGAGAGCCTAGCACATGGTTAGATCAGACAAGGAGAGTCTAGTACATGGTTAGATCAGACAAGGAGAGCCTAGCACATGGTTAGATCTGACAAGGAGAGCCTAGTACATGGTTAGATCAGACAATGAGAGCCTAGTAGACGGTTAGAACAGAAAAGGAGGGCCCATATGATAGGTTTTAACAAACAAGGAGAGCTTAGTTTATGGTTAAAACAGACAAGGAGAGTCTATTTTACAGTTAAATTTGACAATGAGAGCCTAGTACATGGTTAGATCAGACAAGGAGAGCCTAGCAGACGGTTAGAAAAGAAAAGGA